ATATAAAACTATTAACTTTAGACTTTTTGTTTTTAGGCTAAAAGCCACTACCAAACCAGTGTGATGCTTCAGCATCAACCCAACTGTCAAGTGATCCTTATAAAGCCCAGGATCTCATTAGAGGAACAGCCAACAGGTGGGTTAATCAGCACCAGAGGAGCCACAGGAAAACAACAATCATGACAGTACCATCCTGCTACAATCGTCTCCTGATGATCTAACCCTCTTCTCTGGATGGGACCTGTAAAAATCAACAATTAAAAATGGGTCAAGAATAGAGGCTCTCTGGACCCAGGAACGTTCATCCGGGCTGTAACCCTCCCAATCCACCAGGTACTACAATCATCGCCCACGTCTTCTGACGTCCAGGATGCAGTTGACAGTATAAGCTGGCAGATTGTCTATGATGCGGGCGGGTGGAGGAGGATTAGATGGGGGACTTGGACTCAATGTAACTGGTTTGACCTGTGCAACATGAAAGGTGGGCCGAATTTGCATAAATGCAGGGAGACAGAGACAAACTGCAGATGGGTTGATGATTCTTGCTCTAGGGAAGGGACCAATGAACCGAGTCGCCAGTTTCCTCGGAGTGTCTCTCAGTTGAATTTCCCTGGTAGAAAGCCACACTTTCTGACCAACCTTATATTCAGGTGCCATGGAACGGTGTCGGTCAGCAATCTTCTTATTTTGGTCCGCAGTTCTCAATAGGGCCTCTTTAGTCTGTTTCCACAGGCGCCGACATCGACGCAGATTATGTTGAACAGACGGTACAGCACATTCACTCTCCACCTCAGGAAATAAGGGGGGACTGTGACCTAAAGAGGCCTCAAAAGGGGACAGTCCAGTAGCAGTAGACAGATGTGTATCCATCCATCCATCCATCCATCCATTTTCTTCCGCCTATCCAGGGTCGTGTCGCGGGGGCAGCAGCTTCAGAAGGGAGGCCCAGACCTCCCTCTCCCCAGCCACTTCTTCCAGCTCCTCCGGGGGAACTCCAAAGCGTTCCTAGGCCAGCCGAGAGACATAGTCCCTCCAGCGTGCCCTGGGTCTTCCTCGGGGCCTCCTCCCGGTGGGACGTGCCCGGAATACCTCACCAGGGAGGCGTCCAGAAGGAAGCCTTACCAGATGCCCAAGCCACCTCAACTGGCTCCTCTCGACGTGGAGGAGCAGCGGCTCTACTCTGAGTCCCTCCC